GGAGCGACTGGTAGTTTCGAACCGCTGACCTTAAGGTTCGCAGCCCGATTTGTTACCACTGCGCTACCAGAGCTCCTTATAGGAAACTTTAAATAGATTAAGAGATAGGCCTCATAACAGTTCACAGCAGGAAATCCCTGAGTTGTGTCTGAGTTGGCCCAGGATCAGTGGTTAAAAATAACCACAAGCAAACCCTCAAAGTCCAGCAGCTTACATATACTGGCATTTCTACTTTATAAAGTACTGCTCTGTGTTTCCTTTGATTTCCAGGGCGCTCTGCGAGGTAAGCAAGGCAGAACTTTCAACTGTTAGAGCAGTTAAGGTAATAGCCAGGAGAAGGGAAATGCTTGGCTCAATTTTCAGAGCAAGTTAGTGGCAGGTGGTGGAGGTTATGTGCCGTGGAGTCAGTTCCAACTCAGCGATCCTGTACAGGGTTTCCGAGGCTGTAAATCTTTACGGGAGCAGAAAGCCACCTCTTTTTCCGTGGAACAGCTTTAGGTTAGAACTGCTGTCTTTGAGGTTAGCAGCCCGATTTGTAACCACTACGCTACCAGTGGCAGGTAGAGGCTAGAACAAAGCTGGGAAAGAAGGGAGGCTGGAGGCGACATTATGTGCTAGACTCAGTGCTACGTGCTTTATCTCTATATCCTCCCAACAACCCTGGGAGGAAGGTATGAACATATCAACTCCTACTTTCACTTTATAGGTAAGGAGAGTGAGAGTCATTGAAGTTTGGTGATTGATCCGGGGCCACACAGTGGAGGGCCAGGACTTTCTGTCTCTCTAAGTTAAGGTCTCTGGTAGCATGGTGGTTACGAATCGGGCTGCGAACCACAAGGTCAGCAGTTCAAAACTACCAGCTGTCCCGCGGGAGAAAGATGAGGCGTTCTGCTCCCGTAAAGATTTACACCCTCGGAAACCCTGTACAGGGTCGCTATCAGTCTTGGAACCGACTCCACGGCACATAACAACAACAAAGTTAAGTGTGGAGTCCTCGTGTGGCACTGTGGGTTAATGCACCAGACTGCAAAGTCAAGCCGTTTGAACTGCAAGGTCGGCAATTCAAGCTCACCAGCTTCTCCTCGGAAACCCTTACAGGTTGCTATGGGTCGGAACCGACTTGATGGCACTGACCACTAACAACAAGTTAAGTGTTCTCCCCATCATTCTGTCTTGTCTCTGTGTGTGAATCAGAGACCTGAGTTCAAGTTCTGACAGTGTCACCACTGTTGTTGATAAGTGATGTCCCGTTAGTGACCCTGTATAGGATTTCTGAGGAGTGGCTGGTGGGTTTGAATTGCTGACCTTGTGGTTAGCAGTCCAGAGCTTATCCTATAGTGCCACACAAGAACTCTGTTATCACTCACCACTAGTCTTGAAATATCTTCCAAGTCTTCATTTTCTAATCTATGATCTGGGACTGTAATCCTTGCTACTTGTGGGTTGGGCCAGTCAAATGAGAGAGAACATAATCTGGGCAAACAGAATGAAAAGATACTGGAAATGTTTTCCAAGAACATTTTAAAGTTCCCTTGTATATTAGAGGCAAGCATTCATTTTCTTAACACTTTGTAGCTCACAGAGCATTGGCAGCTGTGATCTCTGAGTGTACTTGCCCTCGTATGCACATGGTTGCAGGTAGTTGTCCTTGTATTTGCCCCAGCATAGGCACTTCCTAACCACATGGGGAGATTGAGGTTTCTCCTTTTCAGAGGCTGAGACTTAACCTGCCTTCTCTCACTACTTTCTCCATGTCCTGGCCCTAGAGAGGTGTGGCATACTGAAAATTTGATCCATCCATAAGGGGGGAGTCAGGAGATGGGCTCCACTCCCAGCTTGAACACTGTCTTGCTGTCTGACCGTAGGTAAACCCTTCTGTCATTCTGCACCTTGGTTTTCTTGTACGTAAAATAAAGAGTCTGGATTTTTTGGCTTTCAAATTTCAAAAACAACAGAACCCTTAAAAAATGTACTTATGGCACCCAGTACACAAAACAGATTAAGGCAGTGTTCTGGTGGATATGAGGCCTAGTAGCCTTATCCCCATCTGAGCCTGCTTACCCCTTATCTCGAAGTTCCTCTAGCTCTAAAAGTAGTGCCTGGGGCCCTGAGCAGTATGCCTAGCTAGTATATGGTGGCTCTTCATGATGGCCCCATGGACATGGGGAGAGGTCAGAGCTGGCGTGGCAGTCCACAGCTCCCAACACCTTTGCTCCTCAGTCTGCTGAATAGAATGAAAGTCTGCCCTGAAGAGGGGCTTGCACATCTGTAGACTCATACACTGCCCTTCCACAGAAGAGATGTCCTTGCGGATGTGGGGAATGTGGAGGCCCTACTCTTCTCAACCACAGCTGCCAGCCTTGATATCCTTTCTGAGGTGAAGTCACGGAACTACTGAGGATCCTGGAAGTAACCTGCTTCTCTTATCCCCCCAGGAAAAGGCGATCAGCATATGGGAGTCCAAGAATTTCTTTTTAGAACTTGAGCCTCTGCCTGGGGCAGTGGAAGCGGTTAAGCAAATGGCCAACCTAGAAAAGTAAGTTTGTATGCTGAGGATAATTGCCTATGTCTGCACCTACTTCTGGCGTTAGCACTCCTCCCTTCCTACTCTCCTGCACCTGAGTCATGCTTGTTCCTTAACCGTGGCCCCAAGTAAACTCCTAATGAAGAAAATACATTTCCGGTGTAGACTATTAGATGTTTTGCTCCACTAGAGAAAATATCTAATTATTTGACCTGGTTTCCTGAGTGTTTATTGTTAATTTATTCCACAAATATTTAAGAACTGACTTTGTTAGACACTGCTAGGCACTGTTGATACAGAAGTGAACAAACTCTAGTCCTTGCCCTCATCTAGCATACAAATCCAGCGAGGGAGCAGCCATTAAGCAAAGATCACGTGAGTGAATATGATTGCAAATTGAGATCACTGTAGAGGGTTGGGGGCAAGAAAAAGGACAAGGAGTATAAAAAGGTGTAATGGAAACCTAAGCTCATCAGCTGCTCCTCGGAAACTCTATACAGGGTCACTATGGGTTGGAACTGACTCGATGACATTTAACAACAATTTAGGAATTATGATGGAAAAGGGATATTGTTTGAGATACTTTTGTTGTAGTAGAATGAGTGGTCCTATGGAAGAAGCTCCCACTCACAGTAACTAGTACACACAGTCGACTAAAATTTCAGATGCTGTACTTCCTGATAACATTTTTTAAAAACAGTTTTATTGAGGTATAACTTAAAATTTATCAATTTAAAGCATACAGTCCAGTAGATTTTTGTATAGTCACAAAGTTGTTTAACCACCATAATTTCAGAACACTTTTATAACCCTCAAAAGAAATCCTGTACCCTTTTGCAGTCACTCCCCATTTCTATCCTTCTGTAACTCCTTGTAACTGTTTATAGTCTGTCTCTATAGATTTGCCTAATTTTTGACATTTTGTATAAATGGAAATATGACAAGTTATTTTGTGACTGACTTTTTTCACTTAGCTTTTTTTTGTTGTTTTTTTGAGATTCAGCAGTGTTGTCGAATGTATCAGTACTTCATTCCTATTTGTGGTTTAGTATTCTGTTGTATTGTGCAGCAGATTTGCCTAAT